CAGCCACTCCTCGGAAGGAAGGTTGGGCAATCTTACTTCCGTAGTGATACTGCCTCGGAAACCCAAGGAGGGGTCGCTATGAGTCGGGGCCGACTCCACGGCACATAACAACAACATTCCATTAGGTGGTGGTGGTTAGGTGCCGTGGAGTCGCTTCTGACTCAGTGAGCCCATGCACAGCAGAACGAAACGCCGCCCGGTCCCGCGCCAGCTCCATGATCCCTGCTATACTTGAGCCCATTGTCGCAGCCACCGTGTCAATCCATCTTGTCGAAGGATTTCCCCTCCTTCGTGGATCCTCCACCTTACCGAGCATGACATCCTTCTCCAGGGAATGGTCCCATTAGGAAGGGGGTTTAATGTTTGACACATACGAACAGCCAACAGTTAGTAAACAAATACGTAAATACATAAACATAATCTCAAATTTACATAACTGAGAAATTCATAGTTTCACAAAGCCACACCCCATGTTGTTTTCTCCAAGTTGCATGTTACACAGGGCAACACCTTTTTGCTTTGCTTTGTTTTGGAACAGTACAGTACAGGCTTCTCTAAATAGAATGCACAATTTTCCTTATCAAGGCAGTGTTCATTTAAAGACTGCTTGCCTTTTAAAAGAAAGGGGAATGAAAAACATTCAGCACCTGTTTGTAACCCAGTTTCCACTCACTTGCCTCTCTCTCAGGTGAAGCTGCAGAATTGCAACGCTTGCTTTTTGCCCTCTGGTGCTGCGAAGGCAACAAATTAAGGGAGTAAGAGCGCTTGCTCTGTGTTTAGATTCCAAAGCTAGAAGTGAAGGAAAATCTACGTTGATGGACGTGGAAGCTTGTCCCTCTTTCTGTCTCACAAACACAAGTAGTCTTGCTTAAAAGGGCCTTTTGTTCTAAAAGGGCAAGGAATGCAGGAGGGATACAGTGCCTAGCAAGCTTGCCACCAATTACAGTGCAACTCAGATGTTCTGATTCTTTAGGAAACAGCGCTAAGAATCTCACAAATAAAATACAACCAAGGTGGCAGTGGATTAGGAATCAGAAATTTGTTTTAATTTCTCCCATTTTTAAAAATCGTGGTAAAATATTTATTCCCATATTTCTAAAGTAAAAATACTAAAATGATTCATGAGTAAAATGTTGCACGGCTAATGTTTCATGTATGAAGTAATTAACAATTTGAGTATTGCATAAATTAGAAGAATTTAGGGATTCTAGAAGGACTGGTTATAAAAACAGAATAAAGTTAGAATTTACTAGGGCAGTCAAGCAGCAATAAAAGGAAAATTAATCATACTTGAATACGATAACAATTGATGACTGAATATACTGACATGAAAAATCATGCTTAAGTATTGTTAACAAAATAGGAACAGGATTTAAAAATGGAATTTAAAATATTAAAATTTGAAAATTCTAGGTGAAATAAGATTAATTTGAGTAGAGTAAAATAATTTGATTAAAGCTATATAGGATGGTAGCAGAACAATTGCTATGAATATGCCAAGGATATACTGAAATACTTGAGATAATATACCAACTCATACATTTTTAAAAAATAATAATAATGGAAAGAGAGGCTAGTCATTCCATATTTAATAGATCTCTGGAAACACCCTCTCTCCCCCCAAAAAAGTGTAACAGTTGTCATATTTAAATCAACATGAAACTTGTCATTGTTAATACCACAAACTCCAGCAAAGTATTGTAAATGGTCAAAAAGCTAAATCAGTACCAAAAGAAAAATACCTAAATGTATATGTGTACACAGGTGAGAATAAAGAAGTTCGGTATATTTCTTCATTTTAACTGGGTTTTATCACTGGGTTTTAATTTGCTGTTAATCTTTGATGATCAGTTCCTCACCTATTCTCCCATCTCCCTGTTGCTTTAACACAGCTTCTCAGTGATAAATGCTAGTGTTCTGCAGGGATCCCTGGATACCAAAACTTCAGGGAACATATCCTTGTAGAATTCCTCCCAGGTTCTTGACACCTTGATACTTGGTGTGATAGGGTCAATGTCAAGTAGTTATATTTGGTGGCAGGAACTGAAGCTGCAGCCCAGATGTGGAAACCAGTGACCCCTACATACACTAGGGTTCTTGGCAATCTCAGCATTCATTTATTTAGTACCCTCTCTACTCTGCTAAGGAGCTCTGGTGGTGCAGTGGTTAAAGAAAGCATTAGGCTGCTAACCAAAATGTCAGGGGTGGGAATACACAGGAAAAAGAGGCTGTCTGCTTCTGAAAGGATTCACAGCCTTGGAAATCCTGTGGGGCAGTTCTGACTCTGTCCTAAAGGTCACTGTGAGTCAGAATTGATTGGACAACAGTTTTTTTTTTTTTTAATCTAAATACTGGAAGCCCTGGTGGTACAGTGGTCAAGCGCTCAGCTGTTAACTGAAAGGTTAGCAGTTGAAACTTACCAATTGTTCTGCAGGAGAAAGATGTGGCAGTGTGCTTCCATAAAGATTTATAGCCTTGGAAACCCTATAGGGCAGTTTTAAAATAGGGTTGCTATGAGCAGTTGGTTTGGTTTTGGGTTTTTTATAGTCTGCAAGTAAGTGCTTTACATATGTAACTTAATTAGTCCTCACAGCCTTATGAGGTAAGTACAGGTATACCTCACTTTAAGTGGGACTTTAAGTCCCTCCCGCATGTTAGAACATCCAACTGTTTATGTGTCTGTGGTCCCATAAAGTTTTTTTTTTTTTTTTAAAGTTGGGGGGAACAGCTCCCCTTTTGTTTATTATTTCCCTCCAAAACCCAGGCTCTTGCAGCAGTGGACCACAGATGGATACAGGAGGTTGAGGCAGAGGAGGTGGCTCTGGGCAGGTCTCCTGGGCTCTGTCCAGCAGCTGAGGGGAGTGGGTGTAGCTGCCAGGGCAGGCCATGTCTAGGCAGGCAGAACAGTGAGTCGGCTTGGGCTTGGGCGTGCTCCTCTCCCTCCCTCCCGACCGCTCCCTCAGCCACCACCGCTGGGAACCGCCTCTGCCAGCAGCTCCAGCAGGAGCAGCAGCAACAAGGACAACTGGGAAAGGGCTCCCATAAGGTTTTAACATCATGTCTGCACAACAACCAAATCACATGATGTCCTCAATGTTAAGCGATGCATACCTGTATGCTAATTTTCCAAATGGGGGACTGAGGTTCAGAGAGATTGAGTATCTTTCTTAAAATCACACAGCAACTAAATAATAGAGCTCTTTGACTTCTCCATTTCTCTACTCCGTGGGCCAAGGAGTACAAAGAAGGGCGTTTTCAGCCTAGAAACACATTTGATAGAAGTCCTGTAAGATGTGAGCTCCTTGTTCATCATCGGTGCCTGGTAAGGTGCCTGGTAATAGTGGGTATACAATGAATATGCTGAATAATGTGAAGATAAATGGATGGAAAACAAAGCTATTTAAATAGCTCATTCAGAATGATGTTTTAGAAATAAATATTAAATGCTGGTATATGTTTTCCTTTTCCTTCATTTAAATTTAAGCTAATTCCTGGTATTGCCAGACATTTTTCTGGCCCCATAGTAGGTGCTCAATTAAAAATTCATTTGAATTCAATTTCCATATTTCCACCTCTGACTTTTCCCCCCCTGTTTTCTCTGTTCCTGCTCCTTATGCCCTTCATTTCTCCCACCAATCACCATTTCCTTATATGGTTA